ATATATATATATATATATATATATATATATATATATATATATATATCATATATCATATATTCTAATATATAACAGAATTCTAAATAGAATATAATATAGTATCATTATTATATTATATGTAAATTCATAATTCTATTATATACTAATATATAATATGAATTCTAAATAATATAACATAACATAATATAATATAATATACAAAAAACTTGCAATAATAAGAGAAATAGCCTAGTCCAGTTTTTTATTATTTAGATATGCAAAAGTGTTCATTTTATAAACATTTAATGACAACATGTAATGTTTTATTGTGCAATCATCTCAGCAAGTTAACAATTGAGATACATAGGTAGGTACTATCTTTTACAGCACATAATAAATGAAGATATTTGCCCCACCTGACAGTCTATGAACAAATATTGTTTTCAAGCATGTCTAGAGGTTTAACAGATGTGTCTACATTTTTGAGCGTCTAAAGTAAAAATTCAATTATCCACATGAACTACCACAAAGGCCTGGGTCTATTTCTGTCATATATTCCACCTTTTATTTGTTTTTCTTCAACGTAACGGTTGCAAACAACACAGTGAATATGATAATGCCTGTTTCACACCCTCCGCCGCACCTCCCAGCATCGGCACATGAGGTCAAACGGAAGCAAATTCTTCCAGGAGCCTGTGAAAAGAGGGGAAAGCAAGGGATTCAAAAGTGCCTTTGTGTCCCTTAAGAAGAGGTTCCGAGATGAAAGAGGATTTTAGACCAACGGGAGATCGGCTACGGTCTGAGGGCCAGGGCTGTGTAATCTCTCTACATGCAGCGTGTCAGAGCGCTCTAAAAACGGAGCGCGACAAAACCCGGCCGGGCACAAAGCCCTGCTCTCTCAGCTTACAGCGCCAGAGGAACTCTGGAGGAACTCTTCGGCTCCAACAATGGTGCTCAAAACACTGGATTATCGCCCAATGACATGCCCATCAAAACCAGCCCGGCCACTTTCCACATACTGGAACAAAGGAAGGGAGGAACTTGTGCTTTTAAGGGTTTAAAGCGCTGCCACGACCGAGGCGTCATTCTTTGTTTTTTTCAAGGGGACCTGGCGTAGTCGGCTGAAATTTATGCGACAGGCGCAGAAGAAGCACTGTCTGAATGGGCTGCTGTGACAGTGGCCTTCAATGGGAAAATAAAGGATGGCGCTTCTGGGATTCTCTTCTCGTTCACATGTGAGAACGGCACGCCAGGGGTCTCAGTTTGAAGCGCTGGAATCACGGAGGGACAATGGGATGCTCCTGTGCTTCCATTTTCCTGGAAGTGGAGCTCACAGCCAGAGAACTGAGCTAAAGTCAGTACAGTAATGCAGAGATTACAGGCGACTACTGTTATTAGCACAGAGTTACGTGAAAGAGCCTAAATACAAAATCTCTCACTGTAATGTGCACATCTTTCCCAAGCAGGAGGTAGAAGACAGGGGGTCGTTTAAGACGCCTGTGGAAAGAGATATTGATTGCCAGGGTGTGCAGCTATGAATCTGCTCTATGGAACATTCCTCCGACAGATGATACGCCAACTTAATTGAACATATTGAACATATGACTAGAGGTCAACCAATAGTGGATTTTGCAAATAACAAAAGCTAAGAGGAGGAAATAGGCCGATTAAATTATATTAATCATATAAATGAAATTTTCTCACTCAATATATAAAATAATTCTGGATTTCATTACAATGTTCACAATAATGATTTAAACATTGAAGATGTTTTGTAATTACATAAATGAAATTAAAAATAGCTATGCTTTATCACTATTGACACTAACAATTTGTATTATTTTATCGTCATATGACATATATGAATGATGCACAAGAAAGGGAGAGAGACAAAATGGATAGAAATAAAACAACTTTTTAAATGTTACTTTAATTAGCATTGTGTATATTATATATCAATATGAAAGGTACACCATACTCATGTTTGAGATTCATATAATTTACCATGTTTATGTCTTTTAAATATAAAAACATAGTCAAAAGGTGTGTATTGTGTTTGTGCTTTCTTTTATTAAATTGCTGTTATACAGTAAAACCCTCAAGTACATAGAAAAACATGGTTTATATAAAAATAAAAAATAAAATATATTTTAGATTTTTGCCAGTAGCCATGTGCCAATTATTTTTAGACTCAATATATCAGTCTACCCTAGAAGGTAAAAAAATCAAATAATGAATAAATTGTACAATCCACAACAGAAGGGCATTCAATATCCTAATCTCAAAGAACTAAGACAAAAGCAGCCAAGGTGGGTCTTCTTCCCTTGCAACGGAGACAATAACAAAATTTCACCCTGGTGTTGTTCATGATTGAGTTCTGTAAAGCGAACTAAAAAAGCTTCATTTTGTGCAGGGAAAGAAACTCTTTCATGGCACAAGGTCACAGATTCTGCTCTCTTGCAGCTCGTTCCCTCTCAAAACTTCCGCTTACAACACAGGCTTCATAATGCTCGATTTATTGGGACACGAAACAGCTGTGAAGCTATTCTGTCCTCCGTTACTGACATTCATTACTTTCCCACCAGCCTCCATAACTTTCTCTTTTCACAAGGCTGTGTTTCTTTCACCCTCAGCTTTCCGTTCTTCACCATTTAGCAGTGTTTATGAATAATTGAGTTTTGATTCAGTGAGCGAGCGGCGGAGGCAGACAACATAGTCGACAAGCAACACAGGGAAAGAGACACTATATTGGTTCAGAAAAGGCCTTTTTGCCTAAATCGAAACTTCCTGCTCTTCCTGCCAGCCTGTCCTTCTTTAAAAAAAATAAAAAGACACATTTACATTCAACACATATCAATGAGAAACTGCCATGAAGATTGGCTTGCTCTGTCTAGCTACACAAGCGACAGATGAAGCCGCGAGTATTCGGAAATCAAGCGGAATAATATGTGTCTCTTGCCTCGCCTCCAAACACACACACACACACACACACACACACACACATTATATCTAGCTAGTTTCATTTATTTTTACAGAACCAGGAACAAAATAAATATCTACATAATCTGCAGATTATATAGTAATGATCAGATTTGACCACTGTCAAAATGGTTTCGGGTCTGCTATTGGTCAGACAGACAGTTTATTTATTATTCATTTTCAATTTATGTTTTATTATTATTACTATTTTGATGTTGATTTTGTTATTACCACTTCTATTTATTTATTATAATTAATTTATATTTTATATTATTTTTTGTATTTTATTTATAGTTGACTCTGTACAGTAAGTTGAAAAAATTACACCAGCTTTAACTTAGGCTAAATAAATGGTAAAAAGAGCATAAAAAATGAACAGAAAGAGAAAGACAGATGCGAGAGAGAGTGAACGGGCCAGAAGAAATGAGCTGGTGCTGGTGAGACAGGCGGAGGAATGGAGGAAGAGACGTGGGACAACAGCTCTGCGTGGCGGCTTCTTGTTTCCAGCGCATGGCAATGGTGAAATTACTGCAGCCAAGCTTTGCTAGGCTATAGGCCATGCCATGACAGGGATTAAAATAAATTGCCCAACATGAGCGGTGGGAACTGTGGAAAAACAATAGGAGTAAAAGCATAAATGTCAATTTGGAATGATAAAAGACACAATCTAAATGTGGCAGGAGGAGCCTGGAGACAGAGCGGGGGTAATTGAGCTCCATGCTATAGAGTTGAGTGTTCACAGAAAGAGAGGGAAAGAGAAAGAGAAGGAGAGAGCAATGAGGTGTCATGATTGGTGGCCAACCACCTTCTGTCTTTCATCCATCCTCAGACTAATTCTTCACGCACCAACCGCCGTTTTTTTTTTTTCTTTCCCTCGCTCGACAGATCTGGCTAGACAGTATATGACAACCAATAATATTTCAGAGCTTCACTGAGTGGGAGTATGGGAACCTTGTCAACAACATGTTCACACTGTCATTCGAAGGCATGAACACAAAACATGTGAACGCAGAGCTAATATACAAAAATATCTGAAACTAATTAAAAAACATATAAAAATGTGCAACTGCAATGCATTTGGAACTCAGCAGACTATGAAGTTACGGCACACACTGCCTTCAGAGCTGAGCAAAAAACAACGCCCTCCTGGGGTAGGTGGTACTACCGAAATTTTACAGTATGTCATGACATGAGTAATTTATTTTTCTGGAAATTCAACCAAAAATTTCTTACACACTACCACTCGTTTGTGCTATGTTACAAAAGTTACAAAAGATTTCTATCTCAAATTAATTCTGTTCTTTTGAACTTTCTATTCATCATAGAATAAAAAAAAGTATTAAGACACACAA